TTAGATTGCTCTAAACTGAATTAGTTATTGCTTCGTTTTGCCAACAGGTTTGAAATTGTATAACTTGCAAACGACGAAGACATAATTGAAACACGTGAAAAAGTTGAAGGTTACCCAAATTCTATTCCACGATTGAGAAATAATCATTTCACTTGTAACCACGCCACGTGGAAATTTTCGTTTGGCGTTGTACATACATGGAACCGGTTTTTAAATCTAGTCGATTCACGCGAATATTACGGAAATTGCTAGCAGATACATAATAACAAGACGTGCTTCGTCGCATACAGGCAGTGACGTGCAAGATTTCATTCGAATAATACACGACCGATGAAAACTCGCGTGACGATTCGCTCGCAACGTTTGCTCGATTAAAATGCTAAATCTGAGAGGAAAGTTTCGATCTGTACGCGTGGACCAACCGAAGTATTATTGTGTCTGGCGTAGAAATTAATTTTTAAATAATAAACGACTGAATATAAAGACACAGAATTAATTTCTGCACCCGATATTAACTTTATACGTGGTTTCTATATTGCCACACGCCATAGATGCATAAAATTCGTCTAGTTATAAGGTCCCAGAAGAAACTAACGCGTGTACCAGGTGTACGTCACATCGAGAACATTTGCATACGCCGGTACCAAAGATGGTTTAACAAATTTCGGTCAAGGAACGACTGCTTTGAAGATCAGCTGCGAGATACATGGAGCTGGATGAAGTCATTTTATAAATGTCGAGCAAAATCCCTATTGTAACTGTTCGACCAATGACTCACAGAAACCCAACTGGACTCGTTCTAGAATCCACGTGTCATTTGAAACAAAATTGGAAGTTTGCAAATATGGATTGCTGTTACCATTGGAATTTAAATTTAATTAAATTCCACACTTGAAAGTGTGAAGATTAGAGGTTTTAATTAATGATTTGTGGTATACACGTGTAGCGTATTGGCAACGTTCATTTTTTAACCGAAATTCTTATCTCTTCTCGGAAAGTTTGATTCGTTTTATTATTCTAACGGATAAACATACGCCTATCTTTAACTCGTTATTTGAAATCCTCGTCTAGATAAGAGTTTTGTGCATTTCTGGTTTCCCTTGTTCTGTTTCGTCTGAATCGCGCGAGCACCAAAAAAGTCTATAGCTGATCGTTGCACGTACAGATAGTTCGGATCACGTTTCTTGCGTTATCACAGCACGATTTGATCTGGATACACGTAAAGCGAACTCTTACAACTCGATAGCAGTAATTATCATCATCATCGGTTCGATTTTAAATTTACAGGCTTTTCAGGTTCGTTAATTCTGCAATAGTGGACCTTACAATCGAGAATTGACTTTTACGTACTAGTAAAATACTTGTTAACAAAAGGGTAGAGATTAATCGATGTGAATCATTTTCCGAATCAAATCTATTGTTTAAAATCACAGTAACGAACATCGAAGAATGTAATATTTCGCGACACGTTATTCTATTGTAAATGTCATTCTTTCATAACAATCGTTTCTTATTGTTACTCATGTCTGTGATTTTGTGTAGCATCTTATCTAGCGACGCAACTATTTTTTTATCTCGACCGTAAAACAGCGCCGTTGAAAATATATTTGAAAGAAAATGTAATTTTTTTGATTTTATTTTCACGCTAGCAATGAAATGAATGTTTACGCGGAAACGCGAGGTACTCGAGGCGTCCCCAAAAAACACGATATTATGTGGCGTAACAGTTGATACGTCCATCAATTTTGAAGAGAGCTAGATCTATGAAAATATGGCGATATCTGAGTCCATTCAAGGCTCTTCCCTTTCCTTGACACGTTCATTGTCCCGCACGAATAACTCGGTCCATTAGGTCAGTGTTTCTACAAACTTTTTTAATCAGGAACACTTTTTATCTCGCAACACGTTTACGGAAGTTGTGCGTTATTTGCGGTTATTCCATTCCACGAATAAGAAACGTGTAATCGACATGTTAATTAATTTCAACCAGGTATAAAATCGATCGAAAATCGAACCAGCATTAGAGATCATAAATTAGTTTAAACTCGACGTGCATTTGCTCGTCAGTTTTAATCTATACTGATCCACCGTTTACGTTTTGTTTACTAAACGACTAGTAGTCGCATTTTTGTGCGCTTGCTTTCGCGAAAACAATGTCGTTTATTAACGATGCATTAATCGGCGGCTTAAAAACGGTAATGCAATTAGATCGTTGTACTTTTATCAAAGGTATCACCGACGATCGCAAAAGTTGTCGCGAGGTCGCTGCCGGGTGGTAAACAAATGCTGCGCTAGCCGTGACCTCGAGGCAACTTTTGCGAACGTCGTTGTGTATATAACAAATGATCAAATACTTCTGAGCGGTAGCGTATTTGTAATATAAGCCTACTGGGCGTAAAACCGACTCGATGCAAATACGCGCCGTTGCGCGGTGCAGTTTAAATTAAAAAAATCTCAATGTACGTACACGCACGCGTATCCCTGAAGAGGTTAAGAAACAAACAGTGCGGAACACTTGGCAAAACCCGTATGTCCTGATCAGGTTACCCAAAAAGGAGGAACAATTTATAATAATAACGTGTACGTCGCGTCAGAGCACGAGACAACGCGAAATTGAGAATTTTCTGTACTGAGGAATTTCTACGTATGCATACAGTCTACGCATATGTATAATACACTATACTGTACTATACCGTACATACATTAATTAGTATTAATATATTTATATACAGCATATAATTATTACGTTCATTCTGCATCCATTATCAATGAAAAAATTGCTCTCCTCCTACTACAATATACCGGCTGCTTTCGATACTGGAGATTCTTCTAGAATGGACCAATGGATCATTAATGGTGCTTGACAAGGGATAAAGCAATCTTACGCGCTTTCCAATCATTCGTATAGCAACGCCCCAATGGAAACAACACGGAAACTCCGATAAAAATACTTTCGTTTTTTCGCGAGAAAAGCGAGACTTGAGAGTACGTAAGAAAAACGAAATTCTCAGTTTACGAGATACTGGACAAGAATCGAAATAGAGGAGGGGAGGGGAAAAAATCGATTTAGAATCGCTTGCACACTCGATCCACATGTTAACCGCCAAAACTAGCCCGCGAGTTACAAAAGACGCATAAACGAGAAAGCACTTTCTTAACCGCTCGCGACTCGTGTATACGCACTCACACGATTTCATACCGAACATAAAATCATCGTGTACCTACCGACTTCGGCATGCTGTATCGAGAATTCCAACATAGTAGGCTGCAATTGGTAATAATCGAGCTGGCTATCGTATGTCAGCGCGCAGGGAGCGAACCGATCTCACGGTGGGTACACATAGATGCACCGAAAAATCACCGATTACGCTTCACTGAAAACGATGCAACCCGTATGCACTTGAAATGTCAACGGATGGAAAGAAGATGGCGACAGCTAATAAACTTGTCGATTCTGAAACACGCTTAATCGAGACGGTCGCATCGATACGCGATCCACTCGCGATCTCCCGATTTCTTTCGAACCCTACCAACAGGTTCGGCACCGATCTTTCTTTGATTAAAGCCTGGCATACGCGCCAGCACGCACTGTTTCAACTATTCGGAACACCAGCACGCGACTACGCGTGTTTACGCGTAAAAGTAACGGGCAAGTCGGTCGTAAAGACTCGTTCGCGACAGCCGAGAGAGCGAGAGAGAAAGAGAAAGAGAGACTTTTCACCTTCGACGGACTCCACTGGACTGACTGAACCGAGAATGCTCCCGTTCCCTCTCCACTATCAATACCCCCTCCCGCTACAGACAACCAAGCTACCGCTCTGCCCCTACTTTCGTCCTTTCTCATTTACACCCAACTGTTTTTCTTTCCCTAGGGAGCACCTACAGCTGGGACACGGACACGGACACGGACACGGACACGGACACGGAGACACGGATCAAAATCATCCATGTGCACCTGTTGCCGATATTAGATCGGACAGATATCGCGCAGCCACGATACTGCTTCGAGAGATGGTCAAACGCCTCCTGTCAGTCTTGTTCAGCGTTTGTCACGCTTCGAGACGACCAATATTTTCGATTAGATCCTTATCGGACGCAACGTGGTAAGACAATAAAACGACACGTGAGCATTTATCGCGACGAGGTTATTGGAGGCGCGGAAACTGTCTTCATACAAAAATTTAGAAAGCAGACCAACGTGCTTGCCTAGAAAGTGTGCGTACACGTGGACGGGGTCGAATAAGTCCAAAGACTCCGCATAGGGTCGTTTCACGACACTTTTTTTTTTTTATACTAACTTTAACCCTCTCGACCCTAGCGGGACATATACAGGGTGTCCCAAAAATGTTGTAACACGTTGAAAGGGGTGATTCGGGAGGTGATTTGAAACAACTTTTTCCTTAGCGAAAATGTTGTC